ATATATATATGTGTGTGTGTGTGTGTGTGTGTGTGTGTGTGTGTGTGTGTGTGTGTGTGTGCATAATAATTTTTCCTAAATATTTCCTAAATAAAAATTATATTATTCGTTGATTTTAGGTCAGTTTATAAAATTATCGTAAATTAATAAAATATATAATGATCTCTTAAAGATAAAAAAATTACAAGATGTCCTTCAATAGTTAACGATAACGTAAATATCGATGCAAGATGTTACGGGAATTCGAAATAATCGAAATGCATTTAAATCGTTGCATGTGGATCATGCCGAATTGTGTATGCGATGGGGTGCGATGGAAAAGAAGGGGATGAAAGGTATATCAGGGCAAAAGGGATCGGTGAGGATTGTCTGAAGAATTAGTAGGAATACAGCAGCATTTAACTGAACGAACGCGCCGGTTGAATTTATCAATCCGGCCGTGCGTCGTTTGTCGGAGCATACGCAGCCGTTTTTCCACACGAGCGATGATCTCGCTGTTTGTTTCCTAAATAATAGGAAGAATATGCAGTCCCTATGGGTTCCACTGAATTGATGAATCACATGTGCCACATTTGTATCCCATTTTGCATACGAATTAACGGATTCGAGCTCTGCGTATATTTAAATGTATATAAATGTATCGATAACTCACAAAGAAAAATATCTGATAAAAATCTTCAAAAAATTGTTTCTGTTTCCAAAATATTATAATTAATCGTACATTCTTAAGGCATATTTTCTTCCTACATTTTCTTATAGGAAATATTATCTATGGTTTATGAAATAATAACTAAATTGAAAAATTATTCATAACAAGAGGGAAAATAAGCATTCCTTTTATCTAAGCTAACATATTGAATTAGATATGTGAAACATCTTAAATTTTAATTTTCCTTGTGTAATTTAAAAACAGAGGGAATTTGCCTTATCCATTCCATGTAAGTGCTATATAATTAATGCAGAAATATTTTCTGTTTGTCGTACAAATACAACGTGTATAATGAAGAATGCAAATTCCGCGAGAGCGTCGCGGTTCGTTCGATCATCTAGCCTTTCGGTAAATAGGAATAATTATCACATCGGCGTCGGATTAAAAGCCGGAAACGGAAATATGGAAATAATTGTTATTAAACGTAAACAGCGAATATTTTTAACGAAGCTTGAGCGAAGCGATGCTGATTTCGTCAGTGCCGATGAATTCGAAATCGGCGATCGCGTTATGCCTCAAAATAATCATCGTGCATTTTGCATCGCGATTATTTTAACCGACCAAAATGTAGAGTCGGTATTTACCCCGTGCACACAAATTATCGAGCGCAAGTAAATTCCAGTTGCTTTATTCAGATTTGACGTATCGGCCGCAAATTTGACGAAATGAATCACACATTGTGCCCGCGTGCGATAATTAGTAAGTACGACTTTTGAATTAATTGTCATCGATCGACGTCGCTCGTGCGGCCGATTCGAATCCAATAGCGTTAAACCTTTTAATTTCTTTCTTCCGGATCTCTATCCTCTCTATATTTATGTACTTTTCGCGTACGCCAGACTAAAATTTCTCGATTATATAATCGTCGAAATATCGGTTTCGTTTTTAATAAAATTAATTTATAGAAAATGTCAATGACCGATGAAATTCAAAGCTCATTTTAAACTTACACGATTTTATATCAATTTGTAAATTTCATAAAAAATATATTACTATATATATATATATATATATATTACGCATCATCGAGAACAATATCATTAAAAAGATATTTAATTTAAAATAATTATATATTATTCAAATATATATATAAGCTGAAAAAAAATCAAAAACTATGAGAAACATAATATATTTTAACATATATTACGTAAAATGCGCATGTTTAATGTTACATGTTTCTAGAGAAAATCTCACATTTCTTTTTAATAACATTACACGAGTAGAAAAACTGTCAGTTGTGCGAAGAGATCTCGCCGTAATTATTTCGTGTGCTGCTTTATCACGTTCTCGCACCGGCGATCAAATCGTTATTCTTCTCGTAATCTTGCTCCTGACAGATAATTTCAACGTTTTTTAAAGCGTGATAATATATATAAACTCGGCTGCGGTCGGAGAAGGCGCTTATCCTACGCGACCGAATCTATTATCTAAGGAATGACCGGGGGAATGCGTCAGGAGTACGTGATGGATGAGCGGTGATTAATTATACGGTGTCCACCCCCTAACCCATAGCCTCCCCATCGGTAAATACACAACGCGGATACGATCCACGTCGCTTCCTCGTCCGGCTCTTCTTCGAGTTTCCCGCCAGTGGCGTCCGTCCGGCTGGACGAGCGAGCTTGACATATTAATTTTCCAGAGTAGCTGTCCACGTTGCGGCATATATACAATGTTACAGGGAAACTGCAATTTCTCTCTCTCTCTCTCTCTCTCTCTCTCTCTCTCTCTC